CCCATTCCCCCCTCCCATTCCCCCTCCCATTCCCCCTCCCATTCCCCCCTCCTCCTCCTTCCGCACCCTAGAAGGCCGCTAGGTGGCGCCCAGGAGATGACGCCAAGCCCACAGTTAAGAAGACGGGTGAAAATTTGGTCTCAGGCACCTTGGAGTTCTGTCTGCCTCAGTTTCCTGAAGTGTAAAACAGGACCACAATAGCACCTGCCCTTACCACATAGTTGTGAGGATCAAAGAGACCCTATTTGAAAAGGGCTTGGCACATAGTAGGCACTTTGTGAAGGATTGTTGCCTTTCCTCTCGTTTTCTCTTCCTCTTCCCTCTCTTCTCCTTCTTCCCTTCTCCTCCTCTGTTGTCCCCCATTCTTCATCACCTCACCTCCCCTTCATCCCTCTTCTTTCCTGCTCTCTGTCCTCCTCGTCACCGTCCTCCTTCCTCTTCTCCCCTCGTTGACCAGTCATGTCTGACTCTTGACCCCGGGTGGGGTTTTCTGGGCAAAGATGCTGAAGTGGCTGGCCATTTCCTTCTTCAGCTCACTTTTGTAGATGAGGAAACTGAGGCAAACAGGGTGAAGTGACTTGCCCGGGGTCACAAAGCTGGGAAGTGTCTGAGGCTGGATTTGAACTCAGGTCCTCCTGACTCCAGGCCTTGTGCTCTATGCACTATGGCACCCCCAGCTGCCCAATCCTCTCTCCTGTCCACCCTTCATTCTTCAACGTCCCCCCTCCTTTCCCTTCTCCTCTTCTTACCTCCCCTTCCTTCTTTCCATATTCCCTCCTCATAACTCCTTTCTTCTCCCCTTGGCCTCTTCCGCCTTTTTCTTTTTCCTCCTTTCCCTCTTCCCCCTCTTGTCCCAGTCCACCTCTTTGTACTGCTCCTTTCCCCCTTTTCCTCCATGTCAGGTCCCCTCTTCTTTTTCACCCTCCCTCTCCTCCTTCCCCAAAGCCTTCCTGTACATTCTTAAAGGGGGATGGTTGTTGCAATTAATCAATCAAGAAATATTTATGTGTGACCCTGAGCAAGTCGCTTAACCCCAATTGCTTCACCAAAAAAAAAAAAAAGTATATATATTTATGAAGCACCTACTATGTGCTGGGTACTATGCTATGCTGAAGACACAAAGAAAGGCAAAAGACAGTCCCTGCCCTCAGGGAGCTTACAATCTGACAGGGAGACAACATGCAAGCAAATATGTACAAAGTGAGCTACATGAAGGATAAATAGAATTATCAGAGGGCAGGAGCTGGAATTAAGTGGGGCTGGGGAGGCTTCCTGTAGAGGGTGGAACTTTAGCTGGGACTGAAAGGAAGCCAGGGCACTCAGTCAGTAGTAGTAGTGAAGGAAGAGAGCATTCCGGGCCTGGGGGAGGCCAGAAAGAATGCCCAGAGTCGAGAGATAGGGGGAAGGGTCTTGTCGGTGGAACAGCCAAGAGGCCTGGGGTCACTGGACCAAAGGATTGTAAGCCTGGAAAGGTGGGAGGCATCTGGGTTAGGAAGAGCTTTGAATGTCAAACATTATGTATTTGATCCTGGAGGCAATAGGGAGCCCCTGGAGTTTACTGAGCAGAGGGTGACATGGTCAGACCTGCACTTGAGGAAAGTCACTTTAGTGACTGAATGAAGGATTCACTAGCATGGAGAGAGCCGTGAGTCAGGCAGACCCCCTGGCCCCAGCAGCTGTTGCAATAGTCCAGACATGAGGTGATGAGGCCCTGCACCAGGGTGGGGGCAGTGTCAGAGGAAAGAGGGGGGCACATTGGGGAGATGGTGCAGAAGTGAAATCGACAGGCTTTGGCACCGAGTGGGATCTGAGTGGGGAGAGACAATAAGAAATTCAGGATGACCCCTAAGTTGGGAGCCTAAAGAACTGGGAGGATGGGGGTTCCCTTGACAATAATAAGGAAGGAGGGGGGAAGGGGGAAGGTGTAGGGGAAAAGATCACGAGTTCTGTTTCGGACACATTGAGGGTAAGATTGTACTGGACGTCCTGATCATTGTCTCTGAAAGGCAGCTGGCGATGTGAGCTTGGAGATCAGCAGAGTATCTGGGGCAACAGCATAGAGACGGTCATTCAATCCATGGGAGCTCATGAGCTCACCCAATAAAGTAGTATAGAAGGAGACGAAAAGAAAGCCCAGGAGTGTGATGCAGAGGAGGATCCTGCAGGAGACAGGGAAGGGGCAGTCAGGGAGGCAGGAGGAGAACCAGGACAGGCGGGGGTGTCCCAAAAACCTAGAGAGAGGAGAGCGTCCAGGAGGAGAGGGTGGCTAACAGGCTCCATGGCGACGCCGAGAGAATGAGCTGGAGAGAAGCCGCTGGACTGGGCCACTAAGAGATCATTGGTAACTCTGGGCAGAGCAGAGTCAGTGGAAGAAGCCAGATTGGAAAGCATCAAGAAGAAAGCTAGAGGGGAGAAAACCAAGGCCCTCCCAGGCAGCCTTTTCAGGGAGCTTAGCCACAAAGGCTTTCCCAAAGAAATAAAGGACAACTCAAGTCCCGTAGGGATTATGAAGACAATACGGATTTTGCTTCCCACCATCACTCTGGAGAATTCAGTTCAATTCAACCAACATTTACACATCAATCAACAAACAGTTATCAGTCAAACAAGTGGGCTCATTTATTAAGCCCATAACTAGTGCAGGGCATGCTCCTAGCTCTGGCGACCCAAAGAAAAGGCTTGGTCAAGGAGCTGACATTCCAAGGCAGGGCTGAAGATGACCTTGTGCATACATTGGTACTCACAAGATCACTGCGAAAGCAGATGGAAGGTGGCTGTAGAGGGGCCCGGCAGCAGCTGAGGGGGAGAGGTCTCCAAAGAAGCTCCAACTTTGGGGAATGAGGCAATGGCATTGCCAGGCAATGGGAGCTGCAGTACCCTATCGGCAGCAGCCCACCGGCCAGCGTGGCTGCACCAGAGAGGACCTAGAAGAAGGCAGTGCCTAAGAAAACGAGAAAGATGAGCTTGAAAAGCCCAACGCGGTGTGAAGAATAGAACCTCATCCTATGGGAAAGAGGAAGCTATTGGAGTGTATTGGATAAGGGTCAGACCTGCACTTGTGGGCATTTGTTTCACTGGGCAGGTGCCATAGATACAAGTACCAGAATCGAAGCTGTCCTTGCCCTCTTGGACCTACATGTGAATCAGAGACAGAGCTGAAAGAGATCTTTTCAGGGCATCAAGTCCATTTT